CTTCTCCCTCCCTCAGTCCACTCTCCCTCCGTCACTCTATCTTCTCTACCCCTTTCTCCCTATCCCCTACCCTCTCTCCCCCCTCCTTCCCTCCCCTTACACCAACCCCCTCCCACCCTCTCCTTTTCCCCATGGCCCTCTCCCCCACCCCCTTTATCTCTCCGAACCTGCTGTTTGTTTCTCCACTTTGTTCTTCACCTCCAAACCTCTTTGGTTGACTCCATTGGAAGATTCCTCTACGATGACGGCCGTTGTAGTATGATCGGGCCCATCCCCTGGAGGGTGCTCAGTGTCATCAGGGGGCGTAACTTCAACCTCGAACCCCCCTGTGATTAGGACAAGCCATTAATCAGGGATGATGACATGAGGCGATACAACTGGGTTACAAAATGTGTTTGTGTTTGTAAGATTCAGACAGAGGAGATGCAAGCAAAGACATGTAGACAGAGACATGTAGAGAGAGACATGTAGACAGAGACATGTAGACAGAGACGTGACGGTGAAAAGCGGCGCAGGGGGTAAAGCCTCAAAATGGCGCCGGAAAATATATAGAAAAAAAAATGCCACCCGGGGCCAACAAGTAAAAAGAAGATTTTGGCTCCTCTTATCTAAGACTGTCATCAGGCCAGTTGTAACATACGCAAGTGAAACTTGCACCCTTACAAAAACTGCAGAAAACCTATTGAACACATGGGAGAGAAAAGTTGTCCGGAAAATATATGAACCAATACAATTTGAATATGGATGGAGAATACGAACCAACCAGGAATTGTTCAGTCTATATCAGTGTCCTACACTAGTAGGAGAAATAGAATAGGGCAGGCTACGCTAGACGGGGCACTTAGAAAGAATGCCAAATTACGGAAGAGTGAAGAGGGTATATCGCCAAACCCCAGGGGAAAACGGCTAAAATCCTATGACCTAGGAAGGATGGATGATGTGGAAAAAGATCAACAGTAGCTGGGAATCCAATCATGGGAAAGAATATCATTAGTTAGATCTGAGTAGAAGGAAGTGGTGCGGCAGGCCAAAGCCCTACATGGGCTGTAGCGCCACAGGAATGGATGGATTATCTGTGTGAAACACATAGGATTTTATCCTTAAATTCACAATTAAGGTCATATCTAAAGACATTTGTGGCGCCTCTTGTTTCTGGCGTCCGGCGTGAGTGTCCCTTTTGCACGGCCCTGCATGAAGAGTTGGTTTAAACAAAGAAAGTGATAGTCAAGACAAAGGTCAGGATGTTCGTTCCTTGAAGTCACCGGGGTTTCGGGAAAAGAAAAGTCCACAGTCTGGTCAGCAAATCGGCATACCACAAACGTTGAATACAAATAACGTCTTAGAGATTTATTAATGTCGAAATGGTAAATATAATTTGCTCAAACCTTACTACTATTTAGTTTCAACGTCAGCGGTAGGGAAGGTAAGCGATTGGAGATTCATAGAGATTTACCGTTGCAAAAGTAATTTAAAGCAATAGGCTCCCCTCCATTGAGATCGTTCGAGGGACCTTCCTTGACTTCCCTGACACACCACGGTTTGTGGAGACGGTAAATGTCCACTATTGTGCAGGCGGTCAGGAGGGCAACGAACATCACCAGGATGATTCTAAACAAAATACAATTTGACATCATAAACAATAAACTTTGCTGAGATGTTACTTGATTTACATATTTTATTCCCCATACTGTTTTTGGTGCGTCAATGTGTATTTACTTTTTGTGTATTTTCAGAAGTTACTAGCTTGAAAGATGTACATGTTTGTATGTCATCATAGTTCCCATATCCTGAGGTCATTGTGGCGCCCTACACATATTGTCCCTCCATTGTTTCATTATTGTTTAGACAGTGTTTCTTTCAGAAAGTTATCCAGGGAGGGGGGCATTTCAGCTTATCGGGGGTGGGGGGAGGCGGTGCCAGTGGTCAGTAGCCCGTGGCGTAGCTAAGGGGTAAAAGATGGGACAAGACGCACCGGGAGTCAGATTAGTGGGCGCGCCAAAATGGGCGTTGATGGTATTTAGTGGTTGAACATAATTGGTTTCAGAGTTGAGGGCGGGGGGAATGAATCTTGGCCCTTGACGCCAACTACTCTAGCTACGCCCCTGTCAGTGGCACAAAAAGAGGGCGGTTGCGGTGGTACACCCAAGTGTCCATTTTTCTGCAACTTTTTTTCGGAAACTGCAGAGTTTATATCTTGAAAGGAATATATGGCTGCCCATGGCGGCACTAATACTATCTTCGCAACTAGGCATGTGGCACCAAAACTGGCGATCATTTTCATCAGAAAGTAAGACAGAAATTGTTTTTTATTATTTCAAAATCCCGGGGTGCCTTTGAAGTTTACTAGAAGTCAATGTTTCTATTAAGACTTTTTGAAAGGGAGAAGGACTTTCTAGGGCTTTGGGGGAGGCATTATGTCGCCAAGTTTCATACGTAAACTGAATTTGATTCAATTTTTGCAAACCCCAGGGTAATCATTTGGCACAAGCTTATATTCATCCCAATTTTATAACATTGATCAGCATGACGGGGGTGCAGAAAATGAGGGTGTCGAAGACATTCGGGCAAGTTCAAAATGCAAGTGGTTTGGGGAGGGGGGGCATTTTGGCGCATACTTCAATTTGGTGTTTCTTTCAAAAAAATATGAGTTGGCATTTCAAACTTTCGGAAACACCGAAATTAGCCATAATAATGATCAAAGACATCTCTAACGCTGCACTAGCGTGACATGAACTGAACTCATCCCAGTTGTGTTGCCCTTGAGGGTATGCTTTTACCCTAGCTCATCCTCGCTCCTTAAACTTTTATACAGCTAGTGCTTGACTTACGACCAAGATTTGGCCGTGAGTTGAGTAAGCAATGCGTACAGTAATGTGAAGTGATGTTGTAAAAATATTTAAGTTAAATTACATCATCAATTTCTTGTATTATTGTGATAGATCCTAATTTTCGATGTTCCTTTTATGCCATTTGTATCATCTCTACACCATTTTGTTTCTTATTTTTACATCGTCAGGTTTAAGAAAACACTGCATTAACTGTACACGTACAACTGGTTTAATATTTTCAAAACATAATTGAGACAGAAATAAATATGACATCTAATATGACTAGTGATTGTGGTCGTAAAGTGAAATGGTCGTAAGTTGCATAGGTCGTAAGTCGAGCACTAGCTGTAGTCGACAGAAATGTTTTGATAAATTAAAAATGCAATGAAGCATTTTAGCACACACCTGAATTTAGTTTTACATCATCCTACGCCTAAACGGAGAGCAACGGAAGAAATGTTATTAAATTATGTAGGTGTTACTTAACTTTAGAACCATCGTGTGAACCCAGCAACCCCTCGGATATTTTAGGGGTTTAAACATGTGATGTGTGGACTATTTTTTTTTTAAATTATCATCTTTCAATGTAAGGAATGGGAAGACAAACCAAAAAGGAGCAGGGGCCTAGAAGATGCGACCGATGCTTGAGTAATAGATATATTGTTTGTATTACTAAGTAAAAATGTGGCTTTTAATTTTTATTTAAACTAGTTTGGGGTTTAATTGCTTAATTAGTAAATGATTTTTAAAGCAATCATCACATCATTTTACTTGCTGAAAGTAAATGAACCAAAAAAAAAAAATACTGTATGTCCATACTTTTTAATGTGTTTCCAAACTGATCCTTTTTATCAATCATATATGAACGACATAATTATGTTGAGAAGACATGAGTGGTTGACAAAAGATATTTATTTATTGAGTGACTTTATCCGAAGGAGTTCCTATAAAAATGAAAAATACATTTCCAAATATTCAGCTGATTGAAATTTTTGTTTGAAATTTCAAACTACTTTAACGTCCTTTAGATAAATTACACATTCCCTCTTTGAAATAATTTAATTTTTAATTTTTTTAAAAACAATAACAGAATTTATTTTAATTTGACGATTTAGGAACAAGAATGTTTTCTTTAATTATAACCAAAAAAAAAGAAATGGAATTTGCATGATATTCGAAATGCTACTTAACAGAAATCTTCCTTAATTTATTTATTAAGAAAAAAAAAAAAATAATTATTTTTGTAAACATTCTACTGGATTCTCATACAGAAAAAAAAATATTTGAAAAAAAATGCGTACAAATAGATGGGGCAGTTTTTGGTATTATATTCCGATAGTAGAAAGACAAAAGCAGCTTTTAATTTAATAGATATAATTTAAGTATTTAAAAAAAAAACTCTGTCATTTAGGAAACTTTTCTACAAAAGTAGTACATTGAAAGAAAACACAAACGCTTTTGATATAAGAATAATTCTTAATTAATATACATATTTCATAGATTCAACTAATTGTAATTGGTTAAGGCACCGTTTTCTATTATTTTTAAAATTGTTACAACATATTTTTTTAAATTGTACACGTTTTTCCCTTAATTGTTTTTTTTATGGGAGGGGGGCACTTGACTTGCTCCGGATATGTTTGAAAGAAACACTGGTTCTACAAAGACTGTTGTTATTAACTCTTCATAGCCTGTTTCTAAATGAAATTAATACATTGATTTTCTAATGCAGCCCATCTTGTACATCACAATCAGCTCATAAAACCTTGATACCATTGTTCTAAATTAGACCATTTTTCTCATATCTATAATTGTTGTACTATGAACCATTTTTGTACTATACATCCGTTTTCTACAGTACATCATTGTTCTACTATACAGCATTGTTCTACTATATATCATCGTTCTACTATATATCATGTTTTCTACTATAATACATCATTGCTCTACTAATACCTCATTGTTCTACTAATACATCATTGTTCTACTAACACATCATTGCTCTACTAATACATCATTGTTCCACTAATACATCATTGTTCTACTAATACATCATTGTTCTACTAATACATTATTGTTCTGCTAATATATCATTGTTCTACTAATACATCATTGTTCTACTAAAATCCTTGTTCTACTCACACTGTGGTCATAGCTCCGGCATCTTGACTCAGAGACGGTTCATCAAAACAGACAGCGTCCGCCACGTCCAGATTCAACCCTCTCAGCGCACCTGTAGAAACATGGGCAGGTGACATTTCATCGTGTTTACAACTATGAGAACCAACATGACTAAAGACTTAAAGCAATCTCTTCTCAAACCTTTCCTAGTGATATTGAATGTTGCTGTTACTTGTTTTACAATTTTAAGCACGCAGGACTTAACATTCAGTATCATGCGCTCTTTTCAATACCTCAAAATCAAAACCTCTGAGGTCTTTCTACTTTTCTCGTACAGTAACGTAACCTAAAGATACATGGTAGATCTTTATTCTGTATGCATTTGCTCGCCATGGATGCCGTAAGACTGACCCCTATGTTGTATTAAAGTAGTAAATGTTTTTTTTTTTTAACCTCTAATGCTATTAGTAGTAGCAACCAACCAGTGTTAAGAAAAATCTTGACATCCTCAGAATGACATGAAGCAGGCACACATACGCCCCAGTTAAATCTCAGGTGAAAACTTTCCTTTTCGGTCCAAAATTTGTTTACTACGTGCTGGAGAAATAAATAAAAAATATCTAAACATTTCATGGTGCGGCTTCTAAAGGCAATAGAGGTATGTTCCTAAGCGCCCCATGATAATAGGACCTCTGGATATTAGGTGCCCCGTGATAATAGGTGCCCCGTCATAATAGGGGTCCCATGATAAGGTGTGAAAAAATGTTTTGGAAAGGGGGGAGGGGGTCTAAATTTTATCTTGAACGTACGTGTATTGACGTCATGATGTTACTGAGGGCCATCTCGGGCATGTCAGTATATAACAAGTTAGAGATGCGTGGGAAGCAACAAAAGAAAGGGAAACAACCCAATCCCAAGACGATCATCACCAAGGGGCGGAGTTAGAGATACTCGTATCTTTGATGACGTCAGAAAGAAATAGAGGAAAAAAAAGTTTTAAAGTCTGCTAGTTGAGTCAATGAATAAGACACCGAAATGTGAAAGTAAAGTGCTTGTTCATACCTCATTTGAAAAATTTAACAAAAGATAGACTCGAACTCAAAGAAATGAGAAATATGGTGAATGTTCTGGGTAGGGACGAGGAAGAAGGGGCGTACATTGACTAAATAACAACCGGGGGGACGAACTCATGAAAGTGCACCAGCTACCATACGCATTGATGTGTATATTGTGGGGCCTATAGTATGTAAACCTCAAAGTGAAACCTACACTGGGACTTTTTCTTGATACAATAACAACTTCTCAGACTACGTCGCCTCCGAAAGCTTAATGAAGACTTTTTAGGTAGCGCTAATGAATTGATAGACTTCCTCCGCTCCAGATCTTATCCCGAAACTACTCTTATCTCGGCACTCAGTCGCAATCAGCATCATCACACTGAATGGCACGCTCACAATTTGATTGCGAAAAAAAAAATTCATGAAGAATCGACGCATACTTCTTGCTGACCCTGACACCTACAGAATGTTGTTATCCCCTCCACAAATTGTCTTCAGACGGGAAAAAAACTGTTGGTGACCCTCTGGTTCACAGTCGCCTTCGAGTTGACCCACCTTACGTTGGGACTAAACCATGCTCAAGAAGCCGAAGTAGGACTTGTCCCCATTCACTCTAGATCAAAACCATAACCTCCTTAAAGGTGCATTTACCATCAACGAGGGCGCCACGAGTGTTAGTGGAAATGTGATATAAGCGATAATGTGCAGTAGATGCCGCTCCTGTTACTCAGGCGAAACTTGGAGAAGGCTATGAGAAAGGTTCATAGAACATCTTCGTAATATTGACGATGTATTCAATTTATTCATTCGTGAAATTCATTATGATTTATCATTATCATTGAATATAGTCATCAATTTTATCATTGGCAAAGGTAAATAATGCGGATAAATTTTCGTTTCTGAACTACAACATTCGTTTGTTTGACTTCAATTACTTACCAATCAACGCTGAACTAACTGCAGTTTAACGACTCTTACTGCAAGGCCATGTCCATAATGATTATTTCTGGTTGAGGAATTACTTGCTTATCTTTAAAATATGGTAGATAATGTTGATTTTTTTATTGCGCCCTTCTTTTACAACATAATTTTTTTATCTTGTGCTGGGTTATACAACTTTCGGTTTCGGCTAAAAGAAAATTTTTAGCTTTCGGTTTGGTTTCGGCTACGGCTGAAAATCAGAATATCACAATCGTTTTTTTTTCTCCAAATATATATATACATATGCATATACACATACATGAGCGGCATTCCATATTATTTAATATGACGATGCATTTCACATTCACGTCCCAAATATCAGTGCCGCTATATTTTCTAAGACTTCAGGGAAAGCAGAAAACATTACCGGAAGTCCAAGCTTGAATTGAGATCCAACGGGAATTCCCACACGACAGTAGCGTGAGTCGAATGTTCTGGATGAGTTTCTGACACCTCCAATGAAACGGACGCCAGCCGGGATGAAAGCCCTCGTTTCAAGACACTCGTCGTAGTTTCCTTCCATCTGGAGAGCTCCTTTCTTGAGTCCAGCTGATGGTCTGCCGAATGCGTCAAACACTGGGAACATTGTTTTTGAAAATCGTCAATATCGTAGAAAAATCTTCAAAGTGAACTATTTGAAATCAAAGGGTTCAGTGTTTCATTAACAAATATATTCATATAATTATTTAAAAATACCTTCACATAAAGCGACAGTTGACTGTGTATGGGCTATGATATGTTAGTGACAGCACTGGGAGGAATCATTGTTGTTAAACATGTTCACATTATCACAAATGTCTGATTCGGTGGTAAAATATTTATATACGAATGATGTCTGTCCTCGTTGGGCGTAATCCTTTAGCCAGTGTCAATACACGTAGACACACATACTGATACGTGCTCATATACACATAAGCATACACAGGAACCTCATAAATACATCAATTCACAGACAGACACACACGCAGACAGACACATACAATTACAGAAAGATACGAACAGCCAGACATGAACACAGACCGACACACAGAGAGAGAGAGAGAGAGAGAGAGAGAGAGAGAGAGAGAGAATCAAACACAATGGAGTATGGTAAATCTTCACTTAAATCTTTGACAAATGAAACTAGCTGCTCCAAAACTGCACCTAGATCTCAAGGACGGGGGATTTGTGGGAAATTTGCGATAAACTATATTTAAGCAACATAAAATCTTTTTTGGGAAAGAACGGAACAGCAATTCGGGTGTAAGGACCCTCAAAATGATGAGTCATGGTTGACTTACTCTTTGCTGCCCACTCCACGTCGACGCCGCTGTTTCGATCGGTGCGTGAACTCCCCGCCACGTCAAACCAGTCCATCAGGTCATCATAGCAGCCAGGTGAGATGCCGTCTGGAAAGGGGAACACCTGGCGTGACCGCACGTTGTCCACCTGGAAGAGAGTCCTCAAGACCCGGATGTAGTCCACACGGAGAAATTCCAGCTTTACCTCCTTTAAATAAACGGAGGGAGTGGGGGGCAGGAGGAGGGGGGCATGCATAACATATCGAGGTTACTTTAGATCTAAAGGATCGCACATGATAATAATGATTTCAGATTTGTAACCATTTCTAATCACAGTAAACGCAATTCAGTGCAGGTTACTTGAAAGCTATATGAGGTCACCACTTAAATATTGTTTTATATTTTAATTGAGTTGATTTTGAGATCTGGGCGCATGTATGGATTTGAAAATTTGTTAAATGCCAAGTCTGTCTCGATAAATGTCAAGTCAGGTTTGATTAATGTCAAGTCTTTCTAGATAAATGCCAAGTCTTTCTTGATGGATGCCAAGTCTGTCCAACTGGAGCATAATTTAAGGTTAGGGCATATGTTGCCGGTCCACAAAGCATGACACCATAAGGTTGAGGCATACGTTGCCGGTCCTCAAAGCATGAAATCATAAGGTTGGGGCATATGTTGCCGGTCCTCAAAGCATGACATCATAAGTTTGAGGCATATGTCATATGTTGCCGGTCCTCAAAGCATGACATCATAAGTTTGAGGCATATGTCATATGTTGCCGTTCCACAAAACATGAAATCATAAGGTTAAGGAATGTGTTGCCGGTCCTCAAAGCATGACATCATAAGTTTTAGGCATATGTTGCCGTTTCACAAAACATGAAATCATAAGGTTAAGGAATGTGCTGCCGATCTTCAAAGCATAACATCATAAGTTTTAGGCATATGTTGCCGGTCCACAAAGCATGAAATCATAAGGTTGAGGCATACGTTGCCGGTCCTCAAAGCATGAAATCAAGAGGATGATTGAAAAATGGTGATGCAATCTATTTTAAATCGGCCATAGTTCTCATTCTTGATGACGCTCGCTAGTCAATCACTCGTGTTTTAGAACCACTGCACTGTGTGATTACATAGTTAGATAAATAAATAAAACACTACTGTAACATAATATACTTACATATGGCTTCAGTGAAGATCCATTGTAAGCCTTTTCGGCCGCTCTCTCGAGGTATCTGCTTTTCCCCTAAATTTGGTCATGAATAATATACATTTTAGCTTAAATATGTGTATCTCATTTATTCCCAAAGATGATGATTCCACCCCCCAACCCACCGACCTCCAATATAGCATGTATTGAATTTGATAGTAGACTATTAGGATGATCATGTAAATAGATACGTGGATTTCAATGTGTGTGGCGAAGATCCTCATGTGTGGAGAAATCTTTTGACATAAAAAAAATATCGCTGACACAGGAAGTTGGAGTATTTTACATGTTTACCTATAATAAAATTCATCTCACTAGAATAGAAATGGCCGTTGGGGGGGGGGGGTGCCCTCAAGCGGTGTACGTCGGGGTTGTGGAGAAATCTTTTGACATAAAAAAAATATCGCTGACACAGGAAGTTGGAGTATTTTACATGTTTACCTATAATAAAATTCATCTCACTAGAATAGAAATGGCCGTTGGGGGGGGGGTGCACTCAAGCGGATTACGTCGGGGCGCACATTTGATCTGTACATTGAGGGGAGGCATTTTCAGTCAGCTGCGGAGTTTTTTTCGTAAGGATCTGAAATAATCTGGGCCCCGCCTTAATGGGGGGGGGCGCACTAACCCTAGCCACGCCACTGATTCAGCTGATCAAATAACACAAACATTGAAATGAAACTGCTCCTCAATACTAGATGTAATATCCCGCCCACCAGTGGCGGCCGTAATGCCTGGACTTCCCAACTGCTAAATGGTACGTGGCAAAACATGCCTTCAAGTAACGCAATTTTATAAAAAATTCCCACCGCCCCTGAACGATATTAATATGTTAATGTCCCAGTCCCACTACACCGCAGATTTATTTTACCGTCTCTATTTCCGTAAAGCAAAGGAAACTATTACGCACCAAATGCACTTGCGGTATTTGTTTAAAACATCATTTAGCGAAGTTATCGGGAATGTCATTTAGCGAGTTATCGACGGTCATTGTTACATAGAGAATGATGTATGTTGATACATGATGTAATACAACCACGGGTGAAGAAATTGGGGGGTGGGGACAGAGTCTGGTCTGCCCCCTTTTGTCACGGATTTTGTAGCAGCGTAATCGGTCCACCTTGTATACATAATAGAGCTGCTTTTTAAGAGTGCGTTCTGTATTTATTTTTGGTTTTTGTTAACTAAGATAAGATTCTTTGTTGATACAAATAAATGGAAATGATTATCTATTACATTGTGCATATTCATTTTCAGCACATAAGTAAGTACATATTTTTTTTAGGCTGTGGCTATTCGGACCCGGGTCCGAGAAGTTAGAGTTTGGGTTTATTAAAAAAATATATAAAAATTATTGTAGGGTTTGTAAGACAAAATTTGGTAACAGATGACAGATAATTGAATGGACTATATGTTTGTAATGTGAATGTATCACCCTGTGTAGTACTGGTTCAGTGAATGGATCCCCCTGTGTAGTACTGGTTCAGTGAATGGATCACCCTGTGTAGTACTGGTATCGTTAAATGAACTCAAGTATGCACGTTCCTTAAATCAGGTCTGTCAAAACGACAATAAAAGTTAGTTTAGCCATCAATTAAATTGTTCACATTCTCGACACACACGCACTACCGCTTAGGTATTTAACCTGTTGTTTGTTTTAGACCAGACCAGATGGCCTTGCAGTTGTTTTTAAGGAATGCGTTTTCTATTCTTTGTCTGTATCGTTTTATGCTCTGATAAATTTGTTACTTCAATAATTTTTTTGTAGCTTTTGTGAATTCTTGTTGGCTATTCTTTTTTGTCTTGTGGAGTATGGCCTCCCATATTTCTTTACTAATACAATGTTTGTTGTTAATGTATACTAGGATAATTTTTTTTTTTTTTTTTTTTTTTTTTTTTTTTTGTGTTGTGGGTTTTTTTTTTTTTTTTTTTTTTTTTTTGGGGGGGGGGATAACTTCCTCTATACAGAACACAATATGATTATTGGCGGTGTTTGTGTGTGAGTTCATCAATGTCTGGGCAAGTGTTACAAATGCATCACAATCTGTACTCTCCAAGCAGCCCCTGGAGTTTCTCCGACACCTCATCCGACCACAGTTCTACATTTTGTTGTTCTTGTGTTTTTGTTGTTTTCGAAACTGGTTTGGTTTGTAGCATGGCGTTAGGGGCCGACCATTGTGTGGTTAGATTCTTCAAGTGGAATGAAATCATGAGATGTTATTGAAACTTTTAACAATTACCGTAGCACAATGTCTAAAGTTCATTTTTGTCGGATGGGGTGCGAAACATACTAAGTGTATGTCGGCATAGATTTATGGATTGAAGGCCCCACAGAAAGACGACTGGAATCTGTTTTCTTTTGTTTGTTTCAAATTCATGAATTATATCAATTAGTCTATCCAGTAGCTTGCTTCTTTGTAGCATTAGGTGGGTTGTAAATGAGCATAATACAGATCTGGCTGTGCTCCATTGTAGATAGTGTGGCCTTAATGTGATGTGTAGTAATTCCACGTCAAGTCCACATGCTACGTGTTTCACTGTACCGTCGTTGGTGTTAAAGGTAGTTTTTTTGTTTTCATATACTGCTAATCCCTTGGATTTGCCGCTGTCAGTTGTTCTTTCGTCACTAAACATGTAATATTCTTCCAGTGCCACTAATGAATCAGGTACAGTGTTGTCAAGTCATGTTTCTGTTTGGCATATTAAGCAGGAGCTTTCACGGAATTGATAGAAATGCTTACAGCAGCAATACAGTTCATCCATTTTACTGCTCTGTCATCTCACGTTTCCCATAACAACGGGTGGAAGAGGCCTCACTGTCCGGCCTCAATGTCTGGCCTGTCCTGCCTCCCTGTCTGGCCTGTCCTGCCTCACTGTCTGGCCTATCCTGCCTCACTGTCTGGGCTGTCCTGCCTCACTGTCTGGGCTGCCTCACTGTCTGGCCTGTCCTGCCTCACTGTCTAGCCTGTCCTGCCTCACTGTCTGGCCTGTCCTGCCTCACTGTCTGGCCTGTCCTGCCTCACTGTCTGGCCTG